CTGCCAATTTTTTAAATGGCTAGAATAAAGGACAGGGCAAATGAAGGCACTGATACCAATAAACAGCACAGGCATCATAACCAAAACACAGCTGCAAGAGACTGAGAATACGTGAAGCTCCAAGAGCGGGCAAGCTCTTGACTCAAACAGCTGCTTGCACCAGTTGGGCACATACTTACCAAGGAAGCCAAAGGCAAAAGTGTATGAAATTTCTATGTTAAGGCATCTATCTGTAAGGTGAAGTGTACTTAATTTTCAGTATTTTTAGCTCCTTGAAAATGAACTCCTCAGATGATCATTCTTTAGCCTGGCAGCCTGATCAGTGATACATTATTTCAAAAGTAGACATTTCAAAAATGTCTCCACTCCTCCAGGCTCAATGTACGGAAGCATGCACTGTACCAAGAGTGTCTGAACAGTACTTTTAGATTATGTTCATATGTAGAAATACACAAGTATTCAACAATGATTTTAAAAAATGGCAAAATGCAAGTCTGCAGCTACACAACTGAATACATGTTTATTATGAAGTCCCAATCAACACGGAATTAAAGACCCCACCACCAACAAGGGGTCTGGGTTTTCTGTTAACTTTTAGCATTTCTAATTTAGTGGGACAGCTTTCAGGATGTGAGCTGCTGCTACCTAAGAGAGCTACACACCAGTACTTGTTTAACAAGCTGGCATGCCCCCACCTTCCCAAGGTCCAGGATCCTCCCAGCAGGAAGGAAATCCTTGTCTTGGAACAAGCCTGGACATGCCACCCCACAGCAGCCTCCTCCCAGGGAAAACCCCAGGTCTGGACATCTGCACGTCTGCACCTCCTAAAAGAAAAAGACCTGTCACACTTGGAACAGTCAGAGAACCCCTCACAAGGCTGAAGTGTCTGCTCCAAAATGTGAGTCAGGATTTTTAAAAGCCACACAATTTATAGGAAATTTTATTGCTGAACCGTCAAAGGAATTGTAGTACTTTCCCCTGCTAATCCCAAGGCTCCTCAATGCTTAAAGAATATGCCCCAAACTCCAGCCCAAAAAGTGCCTCCCCGAGGTTCCTACTTCTCCCTAAACCTCCTGCCACTCTCAAAAGTCACTCTGAGCCCCTCTGCCACACACTCTCTCCTGCCTTTGTGACCTGTGGGCTACAGAATCACACAGTGCCCAAGGGGGTATGAGCAAACTCTTGAGTGCTGACCCCTTACCTTCCAAGTCTTTGGGACTGGGGTACTCTCCAGTCCAAACTTCCAGGACAGAGCTCTGCAGAGGGGTCAGACACACTGTCCTCCATAAAGCCTGTCATTGCTCCTCTGAATGAGCCCTACTGCAGACATTCCACCTGCTAGATTCTACACTGTTAACAAATAACCCTATGACTCCATACAAACCTTTTTTATTTCTTTCTTTCCAGTACCAGGGCATGAACCTATAGCTTTCATACTGAGCTACATCCCCAGCTTTTTTTATTCTTTTTTTTAATTTCGAGATAGGCTCTCACTAAGCTGCTAAGTTGCCCAGGCTGGTCTTGAACTTGTGATCCTCCCGCCTCAGCTTCCCAGAGTGCTAGGATCACAGGTATGTGCCACACAGCTGAACAGTCCTTTCAAGATTCAGTTTTCTTTCTCAGGAGCAGCACGTTCACAAAATATAAAACAACAGTAATCACCTCAAGAAAAACACAAAAACTGTCAAAAAATAATTAACAAACTCCAAAATAATAAACTTGACTTATTTCTTGTTTTAATTTTCCACACTATCACTATTCCTAGTAATGAAAATAATTGAAATTCACCATATTCATTCAACCTGTGGAATCAGGAAGCAGACATACAGAATATGGGCGTTTCTTTTTTAAAAAAATTGATACTCTGAATGTAACGTTGTGAAGAGAACTTCACTCTCTCGAAACCACCTCTACACAAGCACACGGGAAGCAAAAAAAAAAATGAGGGGTATGGGGTAGGGTTGGAAATCAAACCCAGGGCCCGGCACATGCTAGGCAGGCCCAACTTTAGCTATAGCCCCAGCCTCACGAGAAAAAAAAAAAAAAAATTAAAAGCTTTAACTTATCACTATCCTTTCCCAAAATCCCACAAAAATGTAAGGTTACAAATAAATCTGTCTAAAACAAAGAATATATTGTCTTCAAATTCTTTTTGAATTCACTTTTTTCAGAGATATTAAAAAACTGAAAGATATTCCCAAAAAAGCCATTTTCATAAAACATCAAAACTCAAGAAATTTTAAACTCATTCCCTTCACATACAATCCCTTCAAACTAAGCAACTTGTCACTAGAAACAAAAAACTTCCTAGAAAAAATTTTAAAATGGAAAACACAATACTAAAATAAATTAGGACTACAGGTTATTCTGCTTTATAGGAGATCACATCTTCTAAAAAGAAAACATTAGCAGGGTGTGGTGGTGCATGCCTGTGATCCCAGCATTCTGGGAGGCTGAGGCAGGAGGATGGCCATGATTTCTCAGCCAACCTGGGCTACATAGTGAGTTCAAGACCAGACTGGACTATATAGCGAGACCTTGTCTCAAAAAAAACCCAATAAACAAATAAAAAGAAAACATAAATAACAAATTAATTGCAATAAACTAAAACCACCATGTGCAAATGAACCAACAAAAATCCCAAATAAATCCCTATGCATAATGGTAAATGGCTCTAAAAATCATACACTGAAAAGGAAAGCAGAGATCCTGTCTCTACTGAAGACAGTTCATCATCACTGGAGAAGTTTTTTGATAGAAACAGGTCTGGAGACACGTAGGGGGCAATCAGAAAAATGTTAACACTGGATTTGTGATATTTGCCTAAGTGTAACAGTAACATTGTGATGATGTTAAAAAAGGAAAAAACATCCTAACGTATTTATGGGTGAAATGGTACCTGGAGTTTCCCTTAAAATAAAAGGGGGGAAGATGATTACAGATGAAACAGATTAGTCAGGGGCAGATAACTGTTAAACTGAGCTATCAACTCTTCCTGGATTCTTGAAATTTTCCAAGATAACGAGAATACCTCTTGTGAGCAAAATCTCAAATGCCGCTTAGTTCTGCGTTACATGCAACTTTTATACACATTTCTTAAATCCTGAGGTTTACATAATTAGAGAACTGCTCAACTGTACATACAGACTCTGTAGTCAAGAGTTCCTGTCACTGCCAGTATCCCAAAAACTTTCCAAATGTAGTACTCTGCAAATCTCCTGGAATAGCTCTGTGGATGGGAGCTGGAAGTGAGGAGGAAATGAAGAGGGAAAATCCACAGTGGACCTGCCCAAACTGACACCATAAAGAGCACCCAACTCTTAAAACCAATTCCTCATTCATACTGAGGTCCCATTCTTTGCTTTTTCTTAGTTTCAAAAAGCCTGCTGGCTTATTGCATTGCCCTCAACATCCATGCTGACCAAGGAAGACACAATCCAACTACTGTGTAACCAGGTCAAAAACAAGCTCTGGCTAACTGGCTGGGAAGAGTATACTCACCATTTAGATTTGGCTAGAAAAACTGGGTTAGAAAAAAATCGCCCAGTGCTTAAACAAACACGGGTTGGGGAGGACGTCTCTCAGCCAATAACTAGGCACTCAGTAGTTGCAACAGTCTTTTCCAAAATTTTCCAAAGCCTCCCAAATTCAGTTGAGCCCAGCAGGGTTAAGTTAACAGGGCTTCCTTTCAAATTCAAAAATCTGGACTGGGCCCCAACAGTTAACCAGCGAAACACACGCTAATTCAGTTAAGATCACCAAAGGAGACACACTCCAGCACACCACAGGCCAGCCGGCCAGTCGTGGCCCAGGCCTGCTGGGGCAGTCAGAGGTAGGGAGATGCTTCAAGGGATAGACAAACGCTGTTCAGAAAGCAGAAAGCAGACAATAGGATCCACACTTCATTCTGCCTAAGAAAACGTCTACAGTCAGCTTCCAAACCCCTCCCTTCCATTTTTAATGAGACAATGACAGTTCTTCATGGTGAGCCACAAAGCCTCACTTCATAAGATCATTTTCTTTTCTAACTTAACCTTGTGCCCACTCTAACAAGCTAGAAAACTCCCCTCGAGCAGATAACTCGCAGAAAACCTCTGATAACGAGCAACAAATCAAGTCTGGGAGAATGTAGCATTCTGTTTTGAATGTTCGAGGCCTGTGCCTCCATTACCTACAGCTCTTTCACGAGCTCTACAAATGTGCACGGATGAAATGAATAACACATCAGGTGTCAGCTACTCAGCTCGGACTCACAGTGTCCAGATTCTTTAGTTTCTTGGGGGGGGGGGGGTAGTTAAAGGGAAAGACCTGGGGTGGGTGTGAAACCAGGGCATCCTTGCCTCCTCTCCCTCATCTCTGTTTCAATTACACAGCTGTCAAACAGGTTATTCCTGGAATTCATTTTATAATCCCCACACAGTAATTCTTCCTGCTCCTGTTGCCCAAACACACTCCTCCCTGCTTCCCCAAAATCTGTGCCCAGCTTCGGATCCAGGGAAGGAGGCGAGGCAGGGCGGAGTTCTAAAGCAATCCCAGGTAATACTAAGTCCCCACCTCGAGCCCTGGGGCAGCCAGGAAATGGGATGACAATGTCCCTAAGGCCAAGGAACCAGGGGCTGAGAGTGATTCCAGGCCAGGTCTGCCGGTATCAAATATTAATGCGCGCGCGCACACACACACACAAACACACACACACACTCAGAGGCCAGATTTGGAGAAAAAAGAAAAAGACGCAGGTTGTCTTGGGGGGAAGAAAGAAATCCTCTTCAATTTCACTGGGGGAAAAAAAAAAGTGCATGCCTAACAGTGGCCGATTTCTTTATCGCACAGCCAGGAAATGAGGTCTTCAGAGACCTGGGCGAGTCTCCCCTCGGGGTGCGGAGCAGCGGCTGCAGGGCGAGCCCTCCCCGGGCGCGGCCTTGCCGCGAGGCTCCGTCCCCCAGGGTCCTCAGCACGAAGTTTCCACACGCCACGGGAACAAAGGAGGCGCCCACACCGACCTTGTAGACTTGTCCGTAGGTGCCATTTCCGACCACTTCCACGAGCTCGAAGATCCCCGCGGGGTCCTGCAGGGAGAAGAGGAGGGGTCAGCGGCCCAGGGCCCGGCGGGCAGAGGAGGAGGAGGGAACCCGCCGTCGCCGGCGCCCCGGTGTCCCTGCGCCGCCCGCGCCCGTAGACAAAGGGGCCGCGCCCGCGCCCGCGCAGCCGCCGCTCACCCGCAGCGCCGAGAGGTCGATGTCCACCAGGCTCTTGGCGGGGGAGTCGTTCGCCATCTTCCCGCGGTCCCGCCCGGGCTCCGCCGGGTGCGGGGCACGACGAGCGTGCGCGGCGGTGGCGCTCACACCATGGCCCCGGGCGTCGCCCGCCGCCTCAGGACCGGCCCGCGCCCAGAAGCCGCGAGCCAGCGAGCGCGCGCGAGGCCGCCAGACAAAGATCCCCGGGCGGCGACGCGGGGCGGGGCGGCGACGCGGGGCGGGACCGGGACCTCGAAACGCAGAACGCAGAAAACGGCTCCCCCTTCCCCTCGCAGGCTGGAGAACGGACGGAAACGCGCTCACGCCCGGAGCTCGCGGGGAGGCGAGGCGCCGGGCGCTTTGCGCTCGTCTTGAATATTCACCAGGGTGGGCGGGGCCGGGCAGTCGCCGGCGGGGCGGGCTATTTGAATATTCATCGAGGTGGGTGGTGCCGAACAATGGCTGGGCAGGCACCCGGGTACTCGACTATTCAGCAGGGGCGGGGCCGGACTAAAGTCTGGAGGCGCGCGGGCTTCTTGAATATTCATTTAGGGGTGGGGCCAAGCAATGGCGGACTGGGCGCGGGCGTAGTGACTATAAGGGTCGGTGGAGCAGGACAGTGGCCGCCCCGCTCGGGCCTCATGAATATTCATCAGGGGCGGGTCCAGGCCTTGTCTCTGGGGGTGCTGGTCTCGGGGGCACGAGGGGTTCGAAAAGCGTCCTGGATGGGGGCAACGCGCTCCCACCTCGCAGTAACAATGACCAGAGAAGGGACCCTTCCAGAGACCCCAAAGCCAGGAGGCAGGAGGGACTCCGTGGCTCTTGTGGAGAGGGCTGGAGCCGGTCCGCCTGGGTGGAGCGGGCCTCTCTCTGGCCTTGCCCTGCCAGCTCACATGCTGAGCATGTGTACACATGCACCCAGAGACCCTCGCTTCTAGTGGCCCTGCGCGAGCAGCCGCGATCTGCCCGGCCGCACTCCCAGATCTGCGGGGCTTCAGACTCTGTACCTGGAGGTCACCAAGGGTCAAGACAGGCAGCCTCTCACGCTGGAAGGCAGTTAGGCAGAGTTCTCTCCTGTTTCATCCAGTCATTCTTAGCACATTCCTGCACCAGCCAAAAATATTCAGTGGTTCCCCAGCGCTGGGTACCTGACAGCTTGTGGGCTAACCCCCAACTTCAGGTCCAGGGCCTCTTGGCCTGTTCTCAGATGAAGCTATGGTTACTGCGAGTTGCAGCTTGCTGACAGCAAGGCCCCACCTGCCTGCAAATCCAAGGCCCTTCACCCCTGGGCTTCACCAACAATAGAGTTGTTATCATCACCTACTGTACCCACCTTACACACCTGCATAGTGCTGAGTGTTCTACATACAATTCCCAGCCCTAGGGTAAGGAAACCAAAGTACAGAAAGATAAGCAATGAACCCACGCCCATTCTGTGTCAGGGGAGCTGTGTCAGGGGAGCTGTGTCAGGGGAGCGGGGATTTCTCCCTATGAACCCATCCCAAAATTCAAGTCTGATGCCACTCAAGTGGTCTGTTCCACTCAGATTAGGTTCAGCACCTTCCTACTTCCTGCCAGTTTAAATTTCAAAGTTTTCGACCTGAAAAATCTCTTTCAGGCTTAAGACATATCCAAGGATGCCTGGTATTCACTGATTTGATAAATCACAGTAACCAAAGTGCTTCTTGGATTTACTAGTCCTTTTAAATGATTCTGGCTGGGCCTGGTGGCACACACCTGTAATCCCAGCACTAGGGAGGCTGAGGCAGAGGGATTGCCATGAGTATGAGGCCAGCCTGGGCTACATAGCAAGATCCTGTCTCAAAAAAATAAATAAATAAATAAATTATTCTGGTCAGCAGCAACTGCATCACCTAGGTATGAATACAGGTTAAATAATTTAATTGGAACTAGATTCATGCACTTCTTAATGTTCAAACCATATTATTAGTAATAATATTTAATAGTGTTTATTTGTAGTAATACATAGCACATATTAGGCTCAGGCAATGTGCTAAGTCCTTTACATGTGTTATTATATTATTTTACTCCACATATTGGAAAATAAATGACTCAAGACAGACATTTATGGCTATGGTGGTGAACACCTATAATCCCAGCACTCAGGAGGCTGAGGCAGAAAAAAGAGGAAGAAGTGCCTTACCAGGATGCATAGGTGGTCCCATACACAAATGCCAGTACTCCTCCCCCTAGGCAGCTCCTTCCATAGCTTCAACTCTAAAGCCATGACATCAAGGCCCACTTCAGACCACCTTCTCACCTCTTCCCTCCATCACCTCGAGCCCAGCTCAAAACCATCTCTTCCTTCTATGGGCTTTCTCTAAGTCTCCCTCCCTCCTAAGCTGCTTTTTCTTCTGTCACTGTTGGGACAGTTATTTCACACTTTAAAGTCAGTTCCTACTCTTGAAGGGTCTCCCACCATTGCCTGTTGTCAGGAAAAGCAACACAGCCTGCCCTGGGAGAGCTTACAGCCTGATTGGTAATGCGCATAAGATAGTTCCACAAATAGCCATAGCATGAAGCAGAACATTGTAAATCCCAGGAAAAAGCAGCAAGCAGGCCTATTGTTGAGTATAATGGATTTAGGAAAAATGGAATTGGGGTCAAACCCTAGCTCTACTATGTATCAGTTGTGCAATCTTGCTCAGTCTGCTTGACTTCTGAGCATCTGTTTCCTCTTCTAGATAGTCTGAAGACTGGAAATGAGAAGGCCGAGCAAGAACCCAGGCCAGGGTGGTCAAGCCTATTGCTGAGGAGCGAAAGAGGTCTTGGAAAGTAGGTTATTTAAGACTTGGCATTGGATGGGATGCCAGATGGTAGGGTAGACAAAGAAGTAAAAGATTTGCTTGTGGTTCCATGCCTTGTTGAGACTTCAAGGGTGTTGCCATGAGCAGAGGAAGATGGGAGTTGCTGGAAGGTAGTGACAAAGGAAGATTTCCTTTTGAGCCCAGGACCAGATTTAATGAATTTTTCCTGCAGGATCAGTGACACCTGCCCATCTTCAAACCCCTCTCCAGCCCCATAGCTGGGAGCCAGGTTTTCAATGAACAGCCACACAATAGACCAAGCTGCCATAGTAGCTTTCCACATATGGGTGCCTTGCATCCTCTAGTCCCTCTTCTTCATGATTTCTCTTTCTGAAGTTTCAGTTACCTGAGGTCAACCACATGTAAATAGAAAATGGAAAATACTAGAAATAAATTTCATATAAATTTTTTTAAACTTAGTACACTATAGTCTTATAATTACCTTTTATTATTGTTATTAATCAATCACTTAGCCTAACTTATAAATTAAACTTTACCCCATATATGCACCTGAAAAGAACACAGTATGGATGAGATTTGGTACTATCCATGGTTTCAGGCATGCACCAAGTTTCTTGGAATGTGTCTCCTATAGATAAGGCAGGGGGGACTACTGTGACAGAAAGTCTTGCCATTCTGGAAACTAGAAGTCCAAGACCAAGGTTCTGAACTATTTGGTTCTTTAGAGGGGACTTGGGGAAAATAGAACGGGGCTTGAGATGATGGAAGGAATTTGAATAGGCATAGAGCGAGGGGGTGGTCTGAGGTGGCCCTCTCTTCCCACTTTATAGACAGCCACCTTCTCTTTTTGTCTTCACATGACTTTTCCTTGGTGCATGCAAAGGATAGAGGGAAAACATGCTCTCTGCTATTTCTTATAAGGGCACTAACCCTATCCACCAGGGCCTCACCCTAAGGACCTAATTTAATCTAAAGTACTTCCTTAAAGCCCTATCTATGTCCAAACACAGGCACCTGAGGAAGGGGAGAGAGCCTAAATTTGAGTCAGGAAGACACAAACATCTGGTCTGCAACAAGCTGTGTGCAGTCAGTACAGTCAGTACACCATGCCAGAAAGAAGATGTCTTGGCCCTTGTCCTTAAGAATCTATTTGAGGACACAAATTAACTCATCCAAAACACTAATCAAGATGGGATACTAGAAAATAAGTAGCCCTTTGGCATTTTAGGCCAGGTGAAAAATTATTTGCTTAGACAAAGAATGAAAAGTTGAAAGAAAAAGGAGACCAGCCACAGTGGACAGAGGATTCAGTTCAGGAACCCTGAGAAATAGAGTGTGTCAATCAGTTTTCCGTTACTATAACAAGTACCTGTGAACATTGCTTATAAAAAGAAAAGGTGTCTTGTGACTCATGATTTTGGAGGCTTCAGCCTGTGATTGGTTAGCACCCCTGCTCTGGGCTGAGGTGAAGTAGTGAATCATGAGGAGGTGGCAGAGAAAAGTCATTCACTTCATGGTGGCTAGACACAAAGGAAGAAAAAGGGGTGGGTTCCCACTGTCCCCTTCAAAGGCAAACCTCCAGTGACCCATGACTTCCTTCAAGGCCTCACCTCTTAAAGTGTGCACCACCTTTTAATAGCACCGCTCTGGGCACTCAGCCTTGAACACATGGCCACTTGGAGGACACTAAAGAATCAAAATGCAGCAGAGAGTAAGGCAGGTGAGGTGGAACCAGAAGACAAAACTGGGTCAAGGATACCATGTAGGGGTTGAAAACAGTCTAGACTAGACTCCCCATCATACCAAGCAAGAGGCGGCCTGGCCTTAGCTCTTCAGGGCCCAGATAGCAAGTGTTTTTGGCTCCTTTTGTGTTACTATACCAGAATACCTAAGATGGGGTCATTTATAATGAACAGAGATGTACTTTTTTTTTTGTACTGGGGATCAAACCCATGACCTTGCACTTGCAAGGCAGAGGGAGTGTCAATGAGCTAAATCCCTGGCTTGAGAGATGTACTTGCTATTGTTCTAGAGGTCAAGAAGTCCAAGGTTGAGGGGTCTCCATGAGGATCTTCTTGCTACATCAGCTGATAGCAAAAGGGCAAGCCTGTGTGCATGTGTGTGTGTGTATGTGTGGGGTGTGTGTGTGTGTGTGCACTCATAAATGCATGACAGGGAGAAAGACAAAGACAAGGAAGAAGGGTGTGAAACTCATCCTTTTATCAGGAAATCACTCCTTCAATAACTAAACCAACCGACTACAGTGATAACCGACACATCCCGGTAATTAACAGCATTAATCCATTCATGAGGCAGAGCCTTCATGCCCTATCACCACTTAGAAGTCTGTTCTTGTCCCTGAGACACAGTACCCAACAACCATACCTTAGAGGGGGAAAGGTTTACTTGGCTCACAGTTTCAGGAGTTTCAGTCCATGGTCTGCTGACTTAACCACAGAAACAATATTGCAGAGAAGCCTGGGCCATGGAAAACTGCTCCTGTCATGGAGGCCAGGAAGCAGGGAGAGGAGAGAACCAGGGAAG